GTCAACATAGTGGACAAATGCCCAAGAAACCATCGGACATTATCTAACATCAATGACCACACTGGAAACACTAACCGAAACTGTATTTTCCGCTTGTTACAACTTGTAATAAAGTAGTTACATCTTGGCTTAACGTGTATGACTTATTGGAACGTTGTTACAACTTGCTATATTGGTTGTTATAACTGGTTAGGAGGTGTTAAAACTTGTTGGAACGTTGTACCAACGACGTAGTTTCGGTGTGTGTTTAGCGGGTAATATCTCCATTGTCCAAACAATTATGTATTAGCTATAAGACCTACCATTTATGTATAATGACTAAATATATAATTCTTGAAATAGAACATTCTCAGTAACTAGCTGACATGTAACTATAAAAGATGTGAAGGATAGATGAAATTATTTATATAATAATTTAAGATCAGGTCTGATAAAGACCTTTTGTGCCCTGTGTAATGCTTTTTTGCGCTACCGCTCACAGGACGAGTATGCGGTGCACAATAAACTAGCCGCCCCCGACGGCAACAATCACTCAACAGTGCGGAGTTGCAAACAAAATAAGATCACCACCGACATTTAACAGCGTTGTTATTATTCAACACATGTAACCTAACCATACTACAGTTAACACTAGTCTAACACCTGTCCTCCGCCTGAGACTAATACGAGTACCAGAGGGCCAGCCAGAGGCTCAGGGCCCGCGCAGGAATAGCTATTTTACAAATAAAAATAATAATTAACCTTCGTTTTGGTCGGGTTGATCTAGGGGATTACTGCGCCTTCTTGACATCTTCACTCAGTTCCGTCGACACCTCTGCCTGCTGGAGACTTACTGTTGAGTGTGTGCAACCCGTCCTCGACTCAAGTCCATTACACCCAGCGGTCAACCCCACAGACGCATTCATAAATTTTAACATACTATTCACTCAAAACGGGAATTTTCTAAAGTATAAATGAATATTATAATATATTAGCATATTGTGTATAAATAGGCATAGGTTAGGTTAGGTCAGGTGTTTAGGTTCTGTTGGCGATTATTTGTATTTGTAGTACGTGGGTGAAGCATTTATAGCGTTGTGGTTCGAACAAAATTCGTCAGTGAAGCACTTGTTCCGGATATGTTCGAATGTCAGCAGTTGTGAGTCGCGTGTAAACCGTTTTTCATTCATAAACAGGGGGTTTGGCGGGTGCATGGAATCACTTTTGGATCTTTGTTTGGAGGACTGGCTGTATTTGTAGTACGTGGGTGAAGCATTTATAGCGTTGTGATTCGAACAAAATTCGTCAGTGAAGCACTTGTTCCGGAAGTGTTCGAACGTCAGCAGTTGTGAGTCGTGTGTAAACCGCTTTTCATTCATAAACAGGGGGTTTGGCGGGTGCATGGAATCACTTTTGGATCTTTGTTTGGAGGACGGACTGCCTCTAGTGACCAGAGTACTCGTGAACCACCAGGAGTACCATTGCCTCGTTCCACAGTCCCGGTGACTGGTACACCTGTCCTCTTAAAAAGAACGTCGCTCTTGGCCGTTTGTCCGTATGGCCGAATTTGGACGTAATTTGAAAATTAAAAAAAAAATTAAAATAAATTTGGGATTTTTTTTTTTCAACAACAGTAAGTTAAGGGTCCTCTGATAGGTTAGGTGGGCAGGAAATTCTCATAAAGTTTCAAAACGTTATGAAAAACGTTAATTTAAAGTTTCCTCTCATAACCTCTGCGCGTACGCCGGACGACTCAAATAGAAAACGGAACAGAACGTCACTTTTGTGAGTCGATTTCATTTCAAATTACGTCCAAATTTGGCCATATCGCGCATACGAGCCAAAAGTGACGTTATTTTTAAGAGGACGGGTTGGGTTAATACGTTACCGCGTATACAAGACTTCGCCAGAGGATATTAATTTAAAACCTACTCCTAACCTAACTTAATCTAATCCCACCCGGCCTAATCGATCCCAACCGAGCCTAACACAGCCTAAGCTAATATATCCTAACCTACCGTGACCTAACTTGATAATATACGGCTTTGACCACAAGTTACAGCCCCGCTTCTGTGCCAGATAAGTCCACAACGGGCTTACCATAGCCCGTGCTACTTGCAACTTTTTGTTGCAAATACCGAATCTTAAACAAACGGTTTTGATAAACAGAATTTACGGGCTATTCATGCCCGTGCCACCTCTTGGGTGGCTTAATCTTTATCAATCAATCAATCGACAAACAGAAAACGAGGTTTCTGGAACATCTTGCGAATGATTTAACCCCCCCCCCTAACTGCAGACCTTGGCCAAGATTCATCAAACACTTACGAAACCTATACATCTTTTCTCGCTCATGTATTTACCAGCATTAATACTCCATAACCCAAGGTAATTATTGTTAACACCTCGTAGCGCCTCGGAGTTTATAAACGGGTCAAGAAATGCAAACTAAGCTGCCGTTCTTAAGGGAAGATGCACAGGTTTCGTAAAGGGATGCGTAAAGTCTTGATAAATCCTAGTCACAACGGAACTGGACATTTAAATATATCGCTTTGGCGATTTTGGCTATGCGTATTAGTGGCTTTAGACATTGTATGTACTAATATTGTATTTTGGCGGTAAAGTGGGTACCTGGGTGTTAGTCAGCTGTCACGGGCTGCTTCCTGGGGGTGGAGGCCTGGTCGAGGACCGGGCCGCGGGGACACTAAAGCCCCGAAATCATCTCAAGATAACCTCAAGATAACTCTATCTATAACTCCAACATTATGTTTGTAACTCATCATCTATGGATGTACTTTTACCTGAATAAAAATTTGAAATTCGAAATTTGAATTTGAAATTTAAGAACATAAGAATTGAGGACACTGTAGAGCCCATTGGGCCGTACATTGTTATTGTTTAAAATTCAGCTACTGGGAACTAAAAGTTCCAAGTAGCACGGGCTATGGTGAGCCCGCGATGGACTTACCTGGCACAGGAGCGGGGCAAGTAGCACGGGCTATGGTGAACCCGTAACTTACCTGGCACAGGAGCGGGGCAAGTAGCACGGGCTATGGTGAACCCGTAACTTACCTGGCACAGGAGCGGGGCAAGTAGCACGGGCTATGGTGAACCCGTAGAGGACTTACCTGACACAGGAGCGGGGCAAGTAGCACGGGCTATGGTGAGCCCGTAGAGGACTTACCTGGCACAGGAGCGGTGCCTGGGGCTGTGCGTGGCAGCTCCTCTTTATATACACTCAAACCCATTCAAGTGATCCCAAACGTATCACCTTTCCGGGTAATTAGACACCCAGCCCAAACATCTGAAAATTAGACACCGTAAAATTAGCTACAGTGAATAAGCGGAGCGACGGTCTCGCTTCATGCAGGTCGACGTTCAATCCCCGTGTTCACAAGTGCTTGGGCACCATTCCTTTCCCTCCGTCCCATCCCAAATCCTTATCCTGACCCCTTCCAAGTGCTATATAGTCGTAATGGCTTGGCGCTTTCCCCTGAAGTCCTTCTTCCCCCACAGTCGACGTTTGAAAGGGAGGGAAGGAATTATCAGGGGAAATCGCCAAACCATTACGACTATGAGGGGGGCCTGGTAGCCTGGTGCAGGACTCGTAATTCTGTAGCGCGGGTTCGATTCCCACACGAGGCAGAAAGAAATGGGCAAAGTTTCTTTCACCCTATGCCCCTGTTACCTAGCAGTAAATAGGTACCTGGGAGTTAGTCAGCTGTCACGGGCTGCTTCCTGGGGCGTGTGTGTGTGTTGTGAGGAAAAAAAAGTAGTTAGTAAACAGTTGAGAGGCGGGCCGAAAGAGCAAAGCTCAACCCCCGCAAACACAACTAGGTGAATACACACACACACACACACACACACACACACACACACACACACACACACACACTTATTAGATATTAGAAAGAACTTTTTTAGTGTCAGAGTGGTTGACAAATGGAATGCACTAGGCAGTGATGTGGTGGAGGCTGACTCCATACACAGTTTCAAGTGTAGATATGATAGAGCCCAGTAGGCTCAGGAACCTGTACACCTGTTGATTGACGGTTGAGAGGCGGGACCAAAAAGCAGAGCTCAACCTCCGCAAGTACAACTAGGTGAGTACACACACACACACACACACACACACACACACACACACACACACACACACACACACACACACACACACACACTCGTGAACAAGACCGAGAAACAAACTGAAGTAACTGGGAAGTCACTCAGCTGGGTAAGGGAAACGGAGAAACAAACTGAAGTAACTGGGAAGTCACTCAGCTGGGTAAGGGAAACGGAGAAACAAACTGAAGTAACTGGGAAGTCACTCAGCTGGGTAAGGGAAACGGAGAAACAAACTGAAGTAACCGGGAAGTCACTCAGCTGGGTAAGGGAAACGGAGAAACAAACTGAAGTAACCGGGAAGTCACTCAGCTGGGTAAGGGAAACGGAGAAACAAACTGAAGTAACCGGGAAGTCACTCAGCTGGGTAAGGGAAACGGAGAAACAAACTGAAGTAACCGGGAAGTCACTCAGCTGGGTAAGGGAAACGGAGAAACAAACTGAAGTAACCGGGAAGTCACTCAGCTGGGTAAGGGACTACCTGAAGGAACAGCAAACATCTCTCTCAGAGGCGCGACCTCCGCCTGGAGGAACATAATAAGTGGCGTCCCTCAAGGCTCGGCCCTGAGACCACAATCGTTACTAATTTATGTTAATGATCTACGCGAGTGAGCTCGTTCAGGCCAATACTTGCGGACGATGCCAAGATAATGAGCAATTGTAAAAACAAACGGAGACTGCAGAATGTTACCGGAAGACCTTGACAAACTTTAGGAGTTAGTCAAGGTCTTCCTGTACAAGTTAACAAACAAGTTAACAAACAAGTTAACAAACAAATTTGCCCGAAACGTTATGCGCGCTAGTGGCTTTACAAGAATGTAAAAATCAACATCATTTCTATGTTCTCTTAACCCTTTAACCATATCTGGTATCTACCATTACCTTGTGACTATGAGGTTATGGACCTCGTAGTCACCGATAAGTAAGTGTTGAGCGATAAGTACACACCAAGTTACAGCCCCGCTCCTGTGCCAGGTAAGTCCACTACGGGATCACCATAGCCCGTGCTACTTGCCCCGCTCCTGTGCCAGGTAAGTCCACTACGGGATCACCATAGCCCGTGCTACTTTGAACGTTTTGTTCCCAGTAGCTGAATCTTAAACAACGGCAACAGGTAAGTACACATACACACACTGGTGGCTGAGTGGACAGCGCTCGGGAGTCGTAGTCCAAAGGGCCCAGATTCGATTCCCGACCGAGGCAGAAACAAGTGGGCAGAATTTCTTTCACTTGATCCCTCTGTTCACCCAGAAGAAAATAGGGATTTAGACAGTTGGTACGGGCTGTGTCCTGGGGGATGTGTGTCTGTAGAGAGAATGTGTAGCACAAATAACAGAAGAAAATAGGCCGGGAGTCGAACCATTAGACAACCGACGGTTAGAAAGGCGGAGTCCAAGAGCTAACAGCTTGATTCTGCAGGCACAAGTAGTAACTACTTGCGTATGCTGGCTTGTGTATGTCTTAATATGGTATCTTTTTTTTGTTATCATGAGGTTATCTTGAGATGATTTCGGGGCTTTGTTTAGTGTCCTCGCGGCCCGGTCCTCGACCAGGCCTCCATCCCCAGGAAGCAGCCCGTGACAGCTGACTAACACCCAGGTACCTATTTTACTGCTAGGTAACAGGGGCAAATGTTGCTCAGTTTTGATTTCCTGGTTAATACTAAACAGTATTGAGACACATACTGCTGCTGTATATCCCTGTCTAATTTGTATCAGTATGATGTAGATTGTATATCTCTCTTATCTATACTCATCCATGTTTCTGTCACTGCAATAATATCTATTGTTTCTGTACACACAAGTGCACTTAACTCATCAACTTTATCTCTAACACTGCTGCTATAAGTGTGTTGAGACAGTTGTCATACACTTTCCCTGCATGGTTACTGTGTCCTTCCCCCTGCCCCCCGTGCCAGCACGTGTCCCCTGTGTCCACCCTCCCAGGACACAGTGCCACACCTCGCCTGCTGACACATGACACCCCATCAACGGCAGTGTCTAAGGAAGACACATAAGCTACTACACTTGGTGAGTGCACCTCTGCTCGTGTATACATGTGTCTCTGCCCGTACAAGTATCCTCAATTATCACTGTATCACCAGACCACACACTAGAAGTTGAAGGGACGACGACGTTTCACTGTACATTACATACATCACTGTATGTTGCTACATTCACTACACTACACTACACATTTCACACACACAGAGATCACACTAACGTGATGCATCAAATGAACAACACTGTCGTAGCTCAGTCGATTAAGGCAGTGTCTGGGATGCTCCCGGACGCAGGTTCGAATCCTCGTCACGGCCCTTGTGGATTTGTACACTACACATTTGTTTGTTACAATTCCCTTCGACTTGAGAATGGTCCAGGACGGACCGAAACGTCGTCGTCCCTTCACCTTCTAGTGTGTGGTCTGGTCAACTAAACTTCCGTCTATTATTTTAAGTGTTACTAAGTCAAGTAACGGACTCGTTACCAGCCACAGTGGTGCTCATATTGCTACCCTTGTCACCCTCTATATGATAACAAAACCGTAACCTATTTTTCATGTCCTTTTTTACAGAAGACCTTTTGTATACGACACCTGTTGAACCTCAAGAACCAAGACTTTTCTTACTTCCTGTTTGGTAACTTTTCTCTCAGGTGCCATGGTCACTACACCTTGTGGGTGACCTGTCACCTTATCGACAAGAACGACAGGGGTCTTAACCGTGTTCATAACCCTGTTTACTCCTGGCTACACTCCAAGTCCTTGTGGCTTTATCTTCCCCCTTACGGCAAACTACATTCCCTCAATAGCCTAACTACCTGAGACCGCCCCAACCACACACCACCACACCATAACCGCTACACACCACACCATCACCACCATCACCATCACCACCATCACCATCACCACCACACCATCACCGCTATACACACCACACCATCACCACCACACCATCACCACCATCACCATCACCACCACACCATCACCGCTACACACCACACCATCACCACCATCACCATCACCACCACACCATCACCGCTACACACCACACCACTGCCAGCTGCTCTACAAGGGACACTCGGATATAAAGATATAAACAGTCCCCGTGGTGTAGTGGTAAGACACTCGCCTGGCGTTCCGCGAGCGCTATGTCATGGGTTCGTATCCTGGCCGGGGAGGATTTACTGGGCGCAATTCCTTAACTGTAGCCTCTGTTTAACGCAACAGTAAAATGTGTACTTGGATGAAAAAACGATTCTTCGCGGCAGGGGATCGTATTCCAGGGACCATAGGATTAAGGACTTGCCCGAAACGCTACGCGTACTAGTGGCTGTACAAGAATGTAACAACTCTTGTATATATCTCAAAAAAAAAAAAAAAAAAAAAAAAAAAAAACACCTACCAATTAACCCGAAGCTGTGCTGAATATAATTTTTTTAAAGGATGAGATTAGTATCAAAGTAATGTCATAGTGAGATGATGGACACCAGCGCTCTCTCTCGGGTTGACATCTTACTATTATTACAAGAGAAGCTTGGCACAGTTTATAATGGTGTTCTGAAGAGTAACATGTTTACAGAAATGTTTAAGAGCCGGTACATTAAATATCTGAGATTATTACTCTGGGGGCTGATAACCGAAACTACCTCCAAACAAGGCAACTAGGAGCGCCTTAACAAGGTGATTAGACGTACATTAACTATCATACAAGAACTCTCATGACACATCTTAATATTGGAATTGCCGGACGAAAATCTGTGAAATAAACGTCTTCACCTTGGTGTTATCTTTGGACGTTCACCTGAGAACTTTATCATTTTCAGGCAAGGTTGGCTAACCACATATTATCATCAAATAAAAAGATTGACATTTTAATCTTTTGAGAATGACTGCTGGAAATTGTTATCTCTGCTGCCACAGTGTTGTCTTGTAAGGAAATATTAATTATTGTTCCCCGAGAACAGAGGAGGTAGACTGGGATTACTGCGTAGTGTCTTTACTAGAGACCTGGGGACATGGGGGTCGTCAGATAGCTAATTACTGTGTTTATTGTGTGTGTGTGTGTGTGTGTGTGTGTGTGTGTGTGTACTCACCTAGTTGTGCTGCGGAGGGGGGGGGTTAGGCTCTGGCTCTTTGGTCCCACCTCTCTACTGTCACTGAATGTGTACAGAACTAGTGTACAGATTCCTGAGCCTATTGGGCTCTATCATATCTACACTTGAAACTGTGTATGGAGTCAGCCTCCACCACATCACTGCGTAATGCATTCCATCTGTTAACTACTCTGACACTGGAAAAGTTCTTTCTAACGTCCCTGTGGCTCATTTGGGTACTCAGTTTCCACCTGTGTCCCCCTTGTTCGCGTACCACACGTGTTAAACAGTTAATCTACCCTGTCAATTTCTTTGAAAATGTTGAAGGTAGTGATCATGTCGACCAAAAATTAAACACTAAACGCATCTATTGTTTATACGGGCTGGTAAAAATCGAACTAAATTGTAATAGACAAAACAGTGCCATGAATTGTACGCATTTATTGACAAAGCAGATCAGTAGAGTGCGCCTTTAAGACCACAGCCACTCTTCATACGCTCCAAAGATAAAACCATATAAAATGGACGTTAGTCACAGTACGTAAGCTCCTGGGCCCTGCCTCCCAACCCCTCAACTGACTGTTGTACATGGGGGCCCCCCTATACACCCCTGTGTAAGTAGAGCACCTATTTTTGAGCACCTATTCTATTATAGAGCACCTATTCTATTATAGAGCACCTATTCTATTATAGAGCACCTATTCTATTATAGAGCACCTATTCTATTATAGAGCACCTATTCTATTATAGAGCACCTATTCTATTATAGAGCACCTATTCTATTATAGAGCACCTATTCTATTATAGAGCACCTATTCTATTATAGAGCACCTATTCTATTATAGAGCACCTATAATCTATTTTTTGATTAGCATCCGTGCGTGTCGTTCCCCTCCGTGACGCCACTTCCAGTACGTGTCACTCCATCTCGCTCTTGAACAATAACTCATAATATTACAGGAAAGTTGCGACGTTTCGGCCCCCTTCCCTATCCAGTACGAAATGTTTCGAACCGAGACAGGTCCAAGACGAACCGTCACGTGTGTGGTGTTGAACTGTCCTGTGAGTATTTTGTATGTTGTGGCCATGTCTACTGCATATTGAATCTTTAGTACAATAATCTATTTTAAGGTATTGGTAGGGGAAGTGAAAGTAATGATAAAGGACATACTGATAAAGAAGAACACATCAGATGCATATATAACAGCAGAGGAACAAATACAGCAGAGGAACAAATACATCAGAGGAACAAATACATCAGAGGAACAAATACAACAGAGGAACAAATACATCAGAGGAACAAATACAACAGAGGAACAAATACATCAGAGGAACAAATACAACAGAGGAACAAATACATCAGAGGAACAAATACAACAGAGGAACAAACACAGCAGAGGAACAAACACATCAGAGGAACAAACATAGCAGAGGAACAAATACAACAGAGGAACAAACACAGCAGAGGAACAAACACAGCAGAGGGAGGAACAAATACAGCAGAGGAACAAATACAGCAGAGGAACAAATACAGCAGAGGAACAAATACAGCAGAGGAACAAATACAGCAGAGGAACAAATACAGCAGAGGAACAAATACATCAGAGGAACAAATACAGCAGAGGAACAAATACAGCAGAGGAACAAACACAACAGAGGAACAAACACAGCAGAGGAACAAATACAGCAGAGGAACAAATACAGCAGAGGAACAAATACAGCAGAGGAACAAATACAGCAGAGGAACAAATACAGCAGAGGAACAAACACAGCAGAGGAACAAACACATCAGAGGAACAAATACATCAGAGGAACAAATACAGCAGAGGAACAAATACATCAGAGGAACAAATACAGCAGAGGAACAAATACAGCAGAGGAACAAATACAGCAGAGGAACAAATACAGCAGAGGAACAAACACAGCAGAGGAACAAACACATCAGAGGAACAAATACAGCAGAGGAACAAACACAGCAGAGGAACAAACACATCAGAGGAACAAACACAGCAGAGGAACAAATACAACAGAGGAACAAACACAGCAGAGGAACAAACACAGCAGAGGTGCGCAGAGTTAAGCAGAGAGCAGGGGGCTCAGGTGCACCCAGTCTGGCATCGTTAATCAGAATAGAAACTTGTTCAGGGTCTGTTACTTGAGCTTATACCCGCGTACCTGGGAGTCATTGTGGGTCTCCCAGTCACAGTGGGTGATGGTCTCCCACAGTCACAGTGGGTGATGGTCTCCCACAGTCACAGTGGGTGATGGTCTCCCACAGTCACAGTGGGTGATGGTCTCCCACAGTCACAGTGGGAGCTGGTCTCCCACAGTCACAGTGGGAGCTGGTCTCCCACAGTCACAGTGGGAGCTGGTCTCCCACAGTCACAGTGGGAGACAGTCACAGTGGGAGCTGGTCTCCCACAGTCACAGTGGGAGCTGGTCTCCCACAGTCAATATCACCAACTGAAGAGAATTATACATAATTACGACAACTATTTTTTGATTTAGAGTAATAATCAAGTATCTCAAATACACGAGAATTTCTCTAGAGTGTAATTGAGTATCATTGAACACTTGAACAAGTGTACTGCGTATTGCGTTGTCAGAACAGCGCTCAAACTGCTTCATTTGCATATCACACTAACAATTTACTTTGCAAATTATCACCTTGTGCCTTCCTTCACCCTGAATGTGCATTCTTTCACCCTGAATGCCCCTGTTACCTAGCAGTAAATAGGTACCTGGGTGTTAGTCAGCTGTCACGGGCTGCTTCCTGGGGGTGGAGGCCTGGTCGAGGACCCGGCCGCGGGGACACTAAAGCCCCGAAATCATCTCAAGATAACCTCAAGATAACCTTCCTGACAAATTCTATCTTCAGCGCCTTCAAATAGCATCTACTGACAAATTTTTCGAGCAAGACAATTCGATAATTTGTTGCCAAGTGTGAAAAAGAGAGCTTCAGTGACTTGCAACAAAATGTTGCAAGTAGGAAGTTTTCTTTCTACAGGCCACCAAGTTAGACAGGTTAAATATCTCAAAAGGAATCCACAGGGAAATAGCAGTTCGGTTATATAGACTACGTCTAGGTTACAGATGCAACTGGGAGATTGGTGAACCCCGACAGAGAGAGTGCATCTTCTGCCAAACTGTCACAGAAAAGTCATTACTTCACTATCTCCTGGAATGTGAAGCAACCAATGACCTTAGAAGAGCTTTAAGAGTCCCTGAAACTTGTAGTGGCCACCCTGAAGCCATCAACACTGCCACTCTTCTGGTTATGAAGAGTGTCCAGCAGCTGGAGACCCTCACGGTCCAGCAGTACTCATCAATACTGACCAGCAGTATCCTCCCCCGCGATAACACCAACATAGTAAGGACTGATGATATTAATGCGCGCTCAACACACAGTATATCCTTTCACAACCAAAGATCACATTCACTACAACAAAACTACCACTTACGGGCTATTCATGCCCGTGCCACCTCTTGGGTGGCTTAATCTTCATCAATCAATCAATCGCTGTTCACTGTCATTCACCCCTCTGAATTCTGTATGTGTACTTACCTTACATTACTTATATAACACAATTTACAGGACCGAGCTTCAGCTCCCGGGCCGAGCCTTCCCAACTTGGCCTTCCATTAGAGCAGACGTAAATCTCTGTATCTATGTATTTATGTATGTAGGTTAGATTAGCATTTTAAAATCACTACAGTCACCTTCTGTTGCTGAGTGTTTAATAAATCATTGGACTATATGTTTAACAGATTTCTAATTCTATTTATGGAGAACAGAAGAATATGTATATATGTAGTTAGCATTGTAAATGTGTGGCCACGTCTGGGGTAGAAAATAATAATTTTTTTCTAACGTGGGTGACTCACCCACCTTCCCCCACACATATCACAGACCCCCACACCCACCCCACACTCATCACAGACCCCCACACCCACCCCACAACCATCACAGACCCCCCCACACACCCCACAACCATCACAGACCCCCACACCCACCCCACAACCATCACAGACCCCCACACCCACCCCACAACCATCACAGACCCCCACACCCACCCCACAACCATCACAGACCCCCACACCCACCCCACAATCATCACAGACCCTTCACACCCACCCCACACTCATCACAGACCCCCACACCCACCCCACAATCATCAAAGACCCCCCACACCCACCCCACAACCATCACAGACCCCCACACCCACCCCACAATCATCACAGACCCCCACACCCACCCCACAACCATCACAGACCCCCCCACACACCCCACAACCATCACAGACCCCCACACCCACCCCACAACCATCACAGACCCCACACCCACCCCACAACCATCACAGACCCCCACACCCACCCCACAACCATCACAGACCCCCACACCCACCCCACAACCATCACAGACCCTTCACACCCACCCCACACTCATCACAGACCCCCACACCCACCCCACAATCATCAAAGACCCCCCACACCCACCCCACAACCATCACAGACCCCCACACCCACCCCACAATCATCACAGACCCCCACACCCACCCCACAATCATCAAAGACCCCCACACCCACCCCACAACCATCACAGACCCCCACACCCACCCCACACTCATCACAGACCCCCCACACCCACCCCACAATCATCACAGACCCCCACACTCACCCCACAACCATCACAGAATGCTTCACACCTACCCAACTATAATTATACGCTACCACATCAAATAGTCACCTTCAAATGCACAAAATTAATTAATACACAGTGAGTGAAATTGCAATTGCTAGTAAATGAAGGACTTCATTTTAATAATATATTATCAAGCAGTTTCTCTCACTACGTGTAATTTGTCCTGACGATAGCGGATGATTTATTGTAAAATTCTCTTGTGTAAAAATGATAATAAGTGACGGTTTGTTGCATGATTATCGACCGTAAAAATACAAGCTCATGAATACATTGCAATATAACTGTTGTATTTTTTTATGTAAATAAATATTATTAGTATTGTTATTATAGCTTACTGGAAGTGAAACACTAGGTCTCTTTGAGTCAATGTGTGAGGAAACTTAACTAGTGTATCATTTGCCTCTACACAAAATGTTAATAATGTATAAAATATGTCTTTATTTATCCTGTTAGTTATCAGGCTTCTGTCTACAGACTTACAGATACCGGGACACATTAAGGCTTGACATATTTACAGTTAAGTCAAGGATAGTGACCAACCCACCACTTCACTCCCTCTAGGTCATCCCAATTGTTCACCAGTAAGAACATAAGAACATAAGAACAAAGGTAACTGCAGAAGGCCTATTGGCCCATACGAGGCAGCTCCTATCTATAACCACCCAATCCCACTCATATACATGTCCAACCCACGCTTGAAACAATCGAGGGACCCCACCTCCACCACGTTACGCGGTAATTGGTTCCACCAATCAAGAACTGGTACTGGTTCCGGCAAGAATATGAAGCTGAGAGAAAATAGCAGTTATAGGAGGCTATCAACAACCATTTCATTGTCAAGAACAATTTCGACTTTGTTTCGACTTTGAGGAAACATTTCTTCCAATCTGGAGGAAACGTTTGTTTTTATCTGGAATTAACGTGTTTCAATCTAGAGGAAACATTTGTTCAAATATATATGAAACGTTTGTTCATACCTGTAGGAAACGTTTACTCAATCTTGCAAGAAACGTTTGTTCCAACCTAGATGATACTTTTGTTCTCACCTGGAGGAAAAGGGTCTTTAAATATGGAGGAAACGTTTGTACCAATCTGGAGGAAATGTCTCCGTGGCGTAGTGGTAAAACACTCGCTTGGCGCTTCGCAAGCGTTGGGTTCGTGTCCTGGGGCCAGATTCACGAAACCATTTACGCAAATAATTACGAACGTGAACATCTTTCCTCAATCTTTGACGGCTTTGTTTACATTTATTAAACAGTTTACAAGCATGAAAACTTGCCAATCAACTGTTGTTATTGTTATAAACAGCTTCCTGGTGCTTTGGAGCTCATTAACTGTTTAATAATTGGAAACAAAGCCGCCAAAGATTGAGAAAAGATGTATACGTTCGTAAGTGCTTTCGTGAATCTGGCCCCTGGCCGGGGAGGATTAACTTGGCGCCAATCCTTAACCGTAGCCTCTGTTCACCCAGCAGTGAATGGGTACCTGGTTGTTAAACGATTTGTCCGGTCGTATTCCAGGGAATATTAGGATTAAGGTCCTGCCCGAAACGCTATACGTGCTGGTGGCTGTACAAGAATATAAGAACTCTTGTATATATAAATAAATAAATGAATTAATTTGTGTGAATGTCGAGGAACCGTAGGCCAGATTCACGAAGCAGTTACGCAAGCACTTACGCACCTGTACATCTTTTCTCAATCTTTGGCGGCTTTGTTTACAATTATTAAACAGTTACTGAGCTCCGAAGCACCAGGAGGCTGTTTATAACAATAACAACAGTTGATTGGCAAGTTTTCATGCTTGTAAACTGTTTAATAAATGTAAACAAAGCCGTCAAAGACTGAGGAAAGATGTACAGGTTCGTAAGTGTTTGCGTAACTGCTTCGTGAATCTGGCTCCGTGTGTCCTGTCACACTGGTTCACACAAGCGTTTTGTTACTTAATGTAACCAACATCGGTTTTATCTGTAATACAAAACCTAAAGATAACAATGAACATTAATCCTCACAGTATTCACGAGGAGCCTAACATTTAGTGGAGCGACAGGGTGGTCTTTTACTCTCAAGCCTAACCTATTTTTTTGTGGTCTGCAGAAATTCCACAATATTATTATTGAAGTAATAAGGACTCTGTCATGTATTTTTGCCAGTAATTACTAGGAGTTTCAGTTTAAGAATGTATTTTGCCGTGAAAATATGAGCGAAGTGTAAAATTGTGCTCGGCCGAAAATTCACTTTACTAATATTTTCTAAACAGGTTATTGTACGCCGTGAGCAGGCAGGATTCCGACGCCATCTTGCATGGTTACAAAATAGAATCCTCAAAGTTGAAATAAACGTTTGATTCAGGTTGGAACAAACGTTTGATTCAGGTTGGAACAAACGTTTGATTCAGGTTGGAACAAACGTTTGATTCAGGTTGGAACAAATGTTCCCTTCAGATTGGAACGATTTT